CAATGTCACGTCATAAACTTCCATCTGCGAGATATGCCCAACCCTGGATGGTACCGATGCCACTTTTAGTTTTTGAATTATTTCAAAATTGTCCAAATTTTTAAAATTTTTCCAAATTTTCAAAAATTTTCCAAATTTCCAAAATTACTCAAAATTTTTAAAATTTTTCAAAACTCAAATTTTTTTGCATTTTCAAAATTTTTCGAAAGTTTTCAAAATTTTCATTTTATGGGTGTCTCTAGAAGTTTATGGGGGTACTGTACGGGTCATATGGAAGTCTTCTATGGGGATTTCATGGGTCTGATGGTAATCATATATTATGGGGTTTTATGCGGGTTACATGATGGTCCTATGGGTGTCTTCTGAAGTTTCTATGGGCGTCCTATGAGGATTTTATGAGGGTCTATGTTTTTCTTCCAATGAATATGGCCAATCTTCTTCTTTACGCTAATCTCCAAGGTTTCTTCGTGCGAACCGAAAAAAAGATTGTGACAAAAATACCTTCTTCCTAGAAGAACAATGAATTATATTTGATGCAAGGAAATCATGTACAAAATAACCATTCCGAAACATATTGCCAGGGTTGGGCATATCTCGCAGATGGAAGTTTATGACGTGACATTGTCAAATACCGGTAATTTACCTCTGGGGCGTCAAAAATGTCAAAAAGTGTCAGAAAGCTCTTTACAAGGAAGCTAAGCTAAAAAGTCACAAGGGTCAAAAGTGAGAGGAACATCGGCCGGAAATCGTCAAGATCAAACGATCACGAGGGTTATCCTCGCGAAGGTTAAACATCGCAAGGGTTATGCCTTCTTAGGGTCAAACGTCCCAAGGGTCAAACAACGGAAGCAATCCTTTAATCTGGAGGGTGAAACTAATAAGAGGATCAACGGGGGACGCCNGTGGCGCCACATAGATTTTTGATAGGTCAAAAAACCGACAACTCGCCCGGGTAATTTACCTACTTTATGATCGATCAAAAACCATGTAATTTACCTAAGGTAATTTACTTGCCCAACCCTGCATATTGCTAATTAGGGAGGTTTTCGGCCAATTCACGAACTAATGGCGCCACGTGGCTATAAACTTTCCAACATGCCGGCTCCCAAGATTGAGAGAACATAACCTGCTGTAAACATTGGTCAATTGTGTGTGCCCAAAGGACCTCCAATTACATATAAAAGAGTCAATTAACAATGGTCCTCCCTTGTTCTTTTCCTAATTGCAAGGGAAAATCTAGATTCAGGTTCCCTTCAAAATGTCCACAAACTCGCCAGAAGTGGTTGGATTTTATCGGTATTCAAGACGTGAAGTCGAACAAGGGTTTATGTAAGAATCATTTCACTTCTGATCAATTTATTGTTGAAAGTGAACTTTCAGGTAAATAATTTCATGCTATTCTTCTACCTAATTAATATATTTCATACTATTTTTCCGCCTAACAGCCTAAACAGATAAAAATAGGTAAGATTAACATTGACACTTGCTGTTTTTTTTTTCTTAACATTCATAACTCAGAAAAAGATTTATCAATTGAGCTCAGTCTAGGCTCATCACAAAGAGTGAGAGTTGTAGTTTTCCATTGAAAAGAAAGTATTCCATTTCACAGACAATTGAATATCTTCATTAATGACTTGGTCATTAACTTTTAAAAAAAAATCAAATATACATTCTACCTCATCCTCTTCTAAGTACAGACTGGTTTTCTAGGAGAAAAATTAATCAGAAAGAGGTTGAAGACTAATGCTGTTCCCACGATAAAATTTCTCGAGAAGGAGGAGCATTTGAAAGGTTCGTTAACTAAAAAGACGAGAGAAAAAACTATTGGTGTTAAACTCTTATGGGACTATGGTTTTTTTTTATTATAGGTCAAGGAATAACTGTGCTCGATTCTTCGCACGTTCACCCTCATAACTCCCTTGTTTCCAGACTTTCCCTTGGAAGTCCTGGCAAACGTGTCAGATCTGAGTCTTTGGAGATGGGAGAAAATGCTGACAAAATAAAACGAATTAACGATGTCCTTGAAGGTAGCGTCTGCAGGGACCAAAAGGGCAATGTGTTCCTCATTGTCGCAGACAATGACATTACCAAAATTTCCATTTCTCTCATAATCTTGTAAACTAAAAATCCATTCAGTAATATCATTCATCAATTAAAACCAAAGGATTGTAGAAAATAAAATATATTGACTTTATCTGTTTAGTTATGAACTACTTACCGAAGAATGAGCTCAGCCTTTCGTCCTGTGGTTTTTGCACCTCGAGCAAGTAATAATTTTTTCAATTCTACGATCTTCATCTGTCCATAATCCATTTTTTGTATGGAATTTATATATTTGCAAAACAAACAACACATATAATCAAAGGTAAACCAACATTATTCCGCCCCAACCTCGATAGAATTGGCTATTCACACACTCCCGCCAAAATATCGGTTGATAGCCACGTGGCGCCATCTGCGCCGAGCTTGATCAGACCTTCTTAATTTATTAACAAAAATGACTATACTGTATGCAATACAAGAGCAATTTCCCACTTGTTTTCATGTGATTGAACTTTCGTTTCCAGTTTCTTTTCCCGCAAGAACGTTATTCAGCTACTTACAGCTAGCAGGGGGCAGGGGGTAATGCAAATTTGGATTATTGCAATCGCTTGGGGGTTCGAAAGTGGTCAAAGGTAGCCCACTTTCAGCTTTTTGGTGGTAAAAATCAATTAATTATAAATAATCAAAAATTTCACCTGCAGCCAGCGGGAGGAATGCATCTTTTTGAAAAATTCAACATATGAATTTATATGTAGAATCCTGTGGTGGTCAAAGATGGCCCAACACCAAATTCATCCGTTCATTTTTTCAACTGATAATAAATAATGTTTATCAGGTCTGTCTTACCGAGAGGTACTCCCCCCACCACTTCCCACTCCGGGCCCTTTAAATCATTTCGGAACACGTTTGGAGGTTAGAAAATTGGTTTAACGAATAAGAATCTCAGACTTAAGTTCTTTTGTTATTCAATTTGTGTTTTTTTAATGAACGTGGAGTGAATACTACAAAAAAACATAATTGAACTTATAACGGAGCATTATTCGTCCGAGTATAATCGTAATTCATTGTTTGGAAGTGACACTGAGAAGATGATCGAAAAAAATGCAACGATAAATGACATCATTTTCCCCGCTCCTATGTTTTTTAGATCTACAGTAGTAGTACAATCACTGTTCAAGACTGATTGAACCCATGTGACAGCTCCAGAATAAATTCATCAAGGAGTTGAACCACCTGACCAGTATACATATACGAGATGACATGAATCCTGAAAGGAATTATTCATTTAGAGTCATCACTTTTTCATTCCGTTGATTCACGGGCACCAGGAGAAGAGGAAGCTCCAGCTGTATTATGCTAGTGGTAGTGACCATCTCGAGGCTGTTCCAGGGTAAAATGTGATTAGAAACTCATCTCGAGGAAGCATAAGGGTTCAGGAAGAAATACCAGCCCCATTATTTTTATTTTTTTTCAAAAGCTTAGTACACGACACAAAAGGTCTCTACAGCTGGATGAAAAACCATAAGTTTCAGGAATATATGAGGAAGATTTTTCAGGACGGTGAAACCGGGTGTGAAATAATACAGTGCAAACAATGCAGTATGCACAGCGTGAAAATCATTTTCTGCCGAATTTGTTAGACTTTCAAAGATCGGTGGGTCTGGTGAAACATCTCCAAAAATTGTTTCGATAGAGAATTAATTTTCTTCCGTCATCATCTCTCGTAATATTCCGGAATTCTCAATCGCTTCCATAGTTTTCGACCCCCAGCAGCCGATCCTGGCTTCGTCCAGTTCAAAATCATTCATTGAACCTGCATCTCATTTCACCCAGTTTGCTTTATTTCTTTCCAATACTTCTGCGGTAAGAATATATGAACTTCAAGAAATATAAAATTTCAATTGATCTAGAAGCATATCCCTAGTATATTCCAATCCATGTCATTGAGGCACTCTTTCATTATTCTGAAAAACAATTTTTTCATAAAATAAACGTCCATATCGGAAGACGATCTATCTGATTTTAGGCATCGGATAAGCAACGGCACTTTATACTAATAAGATTCTGACACATAAAGATTGAATTCATCATTCGATTCGACAGCATCATTTCTATTCTGAAGGCATGTATTGGTGATTATAACTCGGAGGAATTCTTTGGTATTTTCAGTCACACAATTCTATTCTTTGGATTTAGATCTTTTCATAATTTTTATAATATGATAGAAAGTGATGGCCTTTGATTTTTATGCCATAGGTGCCCAGAATCACGCGATTCTAACCTCGCTTCTCTCGGTAGAATCGCGGATTCTGGGCCCTATGACATAAAATAGTATACGAAACTCGTGCGTAATGGTGTTTTTTGACTCGTGGAATTGTAAAACTCGCCTTCGGCTCGTTTTACAACTTCCCACGAGCCAAAAAACCCATTACGCACTTGTTGCGTAATATACTATTCTATCACTGTAGATTTTGTAACCTTCAAACGTGCTCCGAAATGATTTAAAGGGCCCGGAGTGGGAAGTGGTGGGGGGAGTACCTCTCGGTAAGATAGACCCGATAAACATTATTCATTATCAGTTAAAAAAACGAATGGATGAATTTGGTGTTGGGCCACCTTTGACCACCACAGGATTCTACATATAAATTCATATGTTGAATTTTTCAAAAAGATGCATCCCTCCCGCTGGCTGCAGGTGAAATTTTTGATTATTTATAATTAATTGATTTTTACCACCAAAAAGCTAAAAGTGGACTATCTTTGACCACCTTCGAACCACCAAGCGATTGCAATAATCCAAATTTGCATTCCCCCCTACCCCCTGCTAGCTGTAACTAGCTACGGGCGCGTTTCGCAATCGACGTAGTAGCAGTAGCAGTACTGCAACCCTATCTAATTTTGCTTTACTGCGGGCGCGTTTCGCAATCGACTTAGTAGCAGTAGCAGTACTGTAACCCTATCTAATTTCGCTTTACTGCAGCTACGGTAGTTGATTCCGAAACGCACCCTGCAGCTACGGTAGTTGATTCCGAAATGCACCCTACGTGTTATTCGACTTTCGTTTCCTGTTTCGTTTCCGGCAATAACGTTATTCGACTTTTGTTTCCAGTTTTGTTTCCGGCGGTAACGTTATTCGACTTTCGTTTCCAGTTTTGTTTCCGGCAATAACGTTATTCGACTTTCGTTTCCAGTTTTGTTTCCTGTAATAGCGTTACTATTTCCTATATAATTCTATCGTTTCCGAGGTCGGAAACGAAACGAAAACGGAAACGCGTTTCCAATCCCTGGTAAAGACGCGCAGGGGCCAGGCATTATCGATCGGTGAGGCCCCGTGCAACAAGTACGAGCGTGTATGACTCACATGTATATACGCATTGAACTGCATCGAGTCTATTCTATTGCGATCACTCTCTTTTCTATTATTTAAAGTATCTATACATTGATTTAAAATATTATCATAAATATTACTGTTATATTAAATATCGTGTGTTCCTGGTATTTTTCTTGTCAACGAGTCAACCGCAATTATTGTAAAACTGTGAGTAATCAAAGTATTCTGTCGAAATTATATTTTCTTTTCAATTCAATTTCTTCATTCTTTTATTGGGTCTTTCCAATCGAACCTCTCACTTTCATTCTATCATTAATTTCTACTTTAATTACAGTTTGCTAATTTATCATCAAAATTAGCTGGCGCCCAACACATTCAATCGTTTCTTCGTCAATTATCGTCGAATTTTCACCTGATGAGCCCTGACAGCCGACAGAACCCGACCGCGTCAGGTTTGAATCCTTCCGACATCTTCAACAGTTGTTCAGTTATTATGATAAATTAAAATATTTCATTGTTGTTGAAAGAATTCTGTCGCAATTATTTATATTTCATAACTCCTGTTGGTAAACAGATCAACGGAATAATTACATCAAGGTGCGCCAAGGATGTTTGAATCTTCAATTTGACCACAGAACTCGTTTTTGTGGCATTTTTCGAGTAAAATTAGTGGAAATGATATGAATGACGAGGTATCTAAAAACAACTCATCAAGATGAACAGGTTTCATTGAGGTGAAAAATGCCATTTAAAAAAAAGCGCTTTGTGTTTGTAACTGGCAAGCATGAGCTTGAAAGCTCAAAATAATGAATGCATCGAATGTCCCACTCGAAACCCTACAATTTTTGTATCGAACATTTTTTTGTTACTTGCCCGCCTTAGGAGATATTTGGCCGCATTTTTTCAAATAGGACACACTGTATAATGTATATATCCATAAATATGTGGGAGTTGCGAAACTCTGCACGATATTTATACGGCAAGATGAGTAATTTATTTCTTCCTTTGATAGGTTTTGGTGACGGGACTGATTTTGAAGTTCAATACAGACATTGTGGTGGAAAAATTTGTTCATATTGGAATAAGTTGCTTTAACTCGCAGGATGATCGTTGAGAATGAAATTCAGGACTTATTCCGTTTTTGCTTCCGAATGGAAGCTTTGTAATCCTGATTTTTTTCGATTTCTTAATTTTGGGTGGAAAGGCTTAGAAATGTCATGAAATGTGAAGAAATGAAGTTTTTAAAAAATGTCTGTATGTTTGTGGTGTGTATGTGTGTGCACATGTGTATTCGTATGTCCAGAACTATCCCCATAACTCGAGAATTATTCAGGCAAAGATGCTAAAATGCTGGCGGCTAATTGGTACCACTGAAACTCAATTTTATGCAAAATTTCAGCACGATCGGTTGAGCGGTTCTTGAGATATAGCGATTCTTCGGAAATCGTTTTTTGCTAATATCTGCTGTGAACCATTCGACCGATTCGATTTTTTTTTCAACATAGTCGTCACGATAATACCTCTTTAAATTTAAAAACGAGATATCGTCGTTTTTGTATTTTTTGGTCGGAATTCACTTTTGCACACTACGGCATGGGTAGAAGTCAGGGAAACCGTTTGAAACTTTGACTTTCAGCTAGGATTGTCAAGGAACATTTCTATATCACATTTTAGGTCAATATATTTGATAGTTCTTGAGATAGAATAATTCACTCAAAATTCTGGAGAAAAAAAAATTAACGCATCTATATTGCCCCGTTCATTTTCATATCAGAATAATTGAGCATGTTCAGAGCTCTCTGTACTCCATTAGTATTCTTGTAACAGCCGGTATCACTGCATCTTTTCTGTTTCTTCCGGACTATCTTATCGTGAACGGTCTTCTTGTTGCTGCATTCCTCCAGTTCAAGCAGAAGAAAATTCAAAGAATTTTTAATATTCTAATTTATTGACTTAAGGGATGAAATGATTCAGTCAAATTTGGTAAATAATTATTATTCACCAATAATCTTGTAAATCAGATGAGTTGAAAATATTGGATAAAAATCAAAAATCGATTTCCAAGTAAAATCTGTCTTCTTATTTCTGAATTCCTTGAATAATCACTTACCTATCCCTAATCATTGTCGAAAGGCTAAAAACAGGTGAATTAAATACTCATTTTTGAATTTATCAAAGGTTAGTCTGCGAAATCATGACGTAACAGGTTTTTAATTGGGGCAGATCCGACACAGAGTGTGACAAAAGTCCACTACCATGCGCAGATATTTTTTCCAAAACCCTGGAAAAAACACACACTTACCGATATGATTCTGAGAATAACAGAAAATGAGTCCAGAGACCATGAAATGCCAATGTTTGATGAAAAATCCAAAATTGGTTTTTGGGTTGATTGCCATAACTTCCATTCTCAAGAAGCTAATAATGATCTCATTGAATGGAATCATACTTTGGTCATTTAGGAATTAAATTTTTTACTCTGTTTGAGTTCACAAAATAGTCCTTGTTATTCACATCCAATTCTGAATCATGATTCATTCATCATTTTTCTATTTAAGTTTCAATTGCCGATGAGCGATTATTCTTCTGGTAGATGGTTCGGAAGAGTGAGAATACCGAAAGCACTGAGAAGACACACTGAAATTTGAAAAGTATACTCATTAATTTATCTAATTTCGCACAAACCATGTCATAGCGATATCCCTCACATCTTTAAATAATTCGTGTGACACTGGAAAAATTCCACCGGCCATTATCACCATAGGCATACTTTGAGAAACAATCATTGTCATCAAGCTCGATTTAGCGTCAATTCCCTCTAACTCATGCCATTGACAATTGAATACAGCGTCACCTACATTGAGACTCTGTGCCAGGAAAGATATTTTCATTAATTGTAGACATGCGTATGAACAAGGCTCACTTTGTCGATTCTAGTTTCTGAGATATTCACGTTTTTGTCGCCGCCACCCATATTTAAGGTGGGTCGTGTGTATTTTTCCGGAAAGGAAGGAACGAAAGAGAAGTTTAATTATTATCGAGCGCTAAGTAATTTCCCTGAACACGAAAATTTTCTATTTACGAGTAATGATTTCAGTGAGCATTTGAACATCTCTTGAATATTAATTTTTTGTTAGTGTAGCGAAGTTACTTTTATATTTATTTCACACCATTTCAATGTATTGTTTTCGAGCTCGGCTTAGCAACCGAATTTCGTACCGTGACACGTGTCGCCGATATATATCGCTATCCTTGTCGCAAGACATCCTCGCGACGATTCGCAATAATTCGGACATCCTCGATCGGATGATCTAATACCGTTGTCGCGGGAGCTCACTCTCTTTCCAGCTCTCATGGTGTAAACTAAAGTTACTTTCGCTGTGAATAAATTCAATTCGATATATACACTAATTCCGAGTGTTATAACTTACAAAACCCTTCTATCCTTCACCGAATCCCACAAGTGGTGACCCCGACGTGAATACTTCAACGTGACAAATAAAATTGCCGCATTAACGTGTTAACAAGTGCAATCGTTTTCCGTTAAAATTAAAGTGATTCGCGTGTCGCGTGGATTTTCGTGGATCGTTCGAGAAGCGTTGGGTTTTGGCATAGTGCTTGTCAGCGTTCCTATCGTTTCGCGCGCTTTTGTTACCGCTCGTGATTTTTTTTCGTGCATCTTGGTGCATTGCTGTGAGCACCCATAGACGTTGTGCTGCACCATGAAAATCATCACGAACAATTATTGCCGTGATTAGTGCACTTTCGAACATTATTAGTGAAATATCGAAAACATGTGTAAGGAAGCTGACGCAACTCAGTCGTTGATCACAACTCATCATTTTTCGCTGAGCGTCCCGAACTCTCTTGCTCAGCTCGAAGGGGAATTTCACCTTGCCGGCATCGCTGAAGAACTGAGCAAATTCCACATGGCTGCCGTTCATCTCGGCACCGTTTCCTCAGTCGAGGTCTAGCAAATCATCCTGCATCCACATCTGAGACCTCATACAAGGAATTACGGGATACCCTCGTTCAGAGACTCACCGCTTCCCAGGAGGCCAGACTACAACAGTTCCTGGAGATTCTCGGTGATCGTAAGCCCTCTCAATTTTTACGATGTATAAAATCTCGTGTATACACAATATTCCAGAGAAATTTTAAAAACAAAATGGCTGTCACACTTGCCGCCCGACACACAACCCATCCTGGCAACGCAAGCAGATTCTACTCTGGACAAGATGGTGGCACAAGCATCACTGCCGTTCTCCAGTTGCTGATCCAGCCGCTGACGCTCTGGTACAGAAATTTTCGCGTCTCGAGGCTTACATTTTAGAATTTACGGGCGCAATCACATGTGTAAATATTTTTAGCTTTCAATCGCCAATAATAATTCTATTTTCATCGTTATTAAAATCGTCTAGTGCTATCGGGTTCCAAATATGTTCAAAACACATCACAACAACATTCACCTCTACCACCAGGATTCATCATTCCGCTGGTACGAGGCAATACATAGCGGCAGTAGACACCGCACGCGCGGCAGGGGGCAACAGGATCCATCATCCTCACCCGCAGTCTCATCGCATCCACATCACGGCCACTCGGGCTTACAGGATCAGAGATCTTCATCCGCTAGGTTCGCAGCGACATTCAACATAGATATTCATCTCATCAAACCGAGAACTGCCGCTGCTCACACTCTTCAATGCGAAGACGCAGTAACGCACCTCATATCACGGCGAGGGAGAGAGGAAAGTAATCTCTACTGTTCATCTCATCAAACCGAGGACTGCTGCTGTTCACACTCTTTAACGCGAAGACGCAGCAACGCACCTCATCTCACGGCGAGGGAGAGAGGAAAGTAACCTCTGCCATTCATCTGCTCCGATGGCAGCTTGAGACAATACGTTGACTCACTGACGCCTCTCCGCTAAGACATTGTCGAGCCCACGAGAACCAGCTCACCGGCTTCTCATCATTACCATCACCAGAACCAGGAAGGCCTAAACACACATCAGGATCTTGGGCTCCATCGACTGACGCAAAATTATCGTTGGACTCAACTCCATTATCATCAAGAAAACGCAACAAATTCATTCGATACTAAAATTCATTCTTCTTTACAGTCGCGCATACCATTTTCAGTACCGTTTAACGCGTATACTCTTGTAAATATTGTATATAGTTATCCTATATATCGCCGCAGAAAGGGAGTATTGTAGCGAAGCTATTTTTATATTCATTTCACACTATTTCAATGTATTGTTTTCGCGCTCGGCTTAGCAACCGAATTTCGTACCGCGACACGTGTCGCCGATAGATCGCTGTCTTTGTCGCAAGACATCTTTGCGACGATTCATAATAATTCGGACATCCTCGATCGGATGATCTAATACCGTTGTCGCAGGAGCTCACTCTCGTTCCAGTTCTCATGATGTAAATCAAAGTTACTTTCGCTGTGAATAAATTCAATTCGATATATACACTAATTCCGAGTGTTATAACTTACAAAAGCCTTCTATCCTTCACCGGATACCACAGTGAGGTTGAGTGATTTGGCCCCATCAGATACGAGTGTCGTCATATTTTCATTGAACGTTTTTTCAATTATTGAATCAATATTAAAATCTATGAGAATCATGGCACTGATAGACGGATTATTTCTATGGTTATTCCGAGTTGATAAACCTGCGGAGTATTTTCGCTCTCTCAGCTCTAGTGTGTCATCTACACTTTTTCCATTCTTCAGCGATTATCCTGACGTTCGAATTGCACGTCACTTGCAGCGATGGTGTAATTAGCAAACATGAGGCCCAATCAATAGCGTTTTCCTGGAAACTCATAATTTTCCATATCGTTTTTCAAAATACCTTTCTCATGAAATCTAGAAAAATTCTGGGACTTGTCCGTTGTGACGTGGTGCGACCCCGTCGTATTACCTCTCATAGTAGTTAGTTAACTGTTTATGCCTTATGTGCGACGGACGAGAAATTGCGCATTTTTCTCGCGCCTTATGTACATACCCCCGCTTCGCGAGGTAAAGCAGTTCGCCATAAGGTGAGTGGCGCCATACAGCGCGGAGGCGATCACTCACTCTTTTGAACCAACGTGATCGTGCCGGCTGGTCAAAGAACACTTCTGTATTCGCTATCAAAGTAACCATTTCGGAGAGAATACATTTACACATAAAAAGGAAAAGGAAAGTGCAAGTGATTGTGAAACCCATCTCGAGTCCACCGGAAATGGTAGAAAATCAAGAGCAGTCTTCCTGACAAAGAGCAGTCTTCCTGACAAAGAGCAGTCTTCCAGACATCCATCGAGGTGGAATTTTCTCCCAATTTTCAATAGCAGACAATAACGTAGAGAAAAGAGCCAATCTCCGTGGGGTATTCCATATTTTTTATTCTGAACGATCATGAGGTATGACAGTTGATCAATTGTGACGAGCTGTCAGGGAACTATTCTGGTTGCCAGTTCATGTGATCGCTGGGATGATCCATTAATTAATTTAATGGGGATTAGACTCTCCTTGGCGTCGGTCGTCAAGGTCACGGTATAAGGTTTTATTGTGAACGCATATTGATTCATTCAATACCGCTCCGTTGGGATTTTCTAAAAATTAAGCTTTCGCTGCGGCATGAAAGTTATTTGGTAAACTATTAGAATAATTTGGAGTTCAGTTTATCATACTTTTCACACATAGTAGTCCCGTGAGACCCCTGGCGCTGATATTTTACCGATGGGGGTTGTTTAGGGGATTCGTTTATTGCTAAAAGCATTGCAAAATTTCTGAAAGTATAAACTATTCATTTAAAAATACTTGTTTAAAGATTAACCCCTGTGTCACGTGTTCATGGGGATATCGTTGCCCCGATTACTCTCGTAAATGCCCTGGTAAAACAGTCCGACTATTCCCGACTGGGTGATACAAAATGAATCGGCGTTAATGATGTTTCTGTCTTTGCCCGTTAAATTCCGATTGGCTGGTAGGTAGAGTTTGGAGTTTGAGAAAATTATGAGAATTAATAGGATCAAGGGTATGTGGCCGTTATCGTCCGATTACTTTCCAAAAAAGTGGTTGATAGATCTCATATTACGCATATAAATATTTAAATGAGCAATAAATATTAAAGATTTATATGAGCAATATGAGATTCATCAACCACTTTTTTGGAAAGTAGTCGGGCAATAACAGCCACATACCCTTGATCCTGTTATTTCTCATAATTTTCTCAAACTTTAAACTCTACCTACCAGCCAATCGAAATTTAACGGGTAAAGACAGAAACATCATTAACGCCGATTCATTTTTTATCACCCAGTCGGAAATAACACGGTTCGACAAAAAAACCCTTGGTATTTGCCCGCACGATGGAATCAAGTGCACTTTATAGATTTTGATATGTAGATTCAGGATCTGGCCTTGTTTTGTCTCCAACACATCTAGTTTTTGAAAAAATAAATATTTAAGTTGCCAAAATGGCCGAAAATGGCACGTCTTTGACATTTAATAATCTGGTGATCAGGAAAAGTTATAATCCAGCAAAAATTGAGAAAAAAATACAAAATCTAATGAACAAACTGGTGTCTCGGGATTTTCATTTGAATGGATGGAAACGGAATTAAAAAAATGTAATGAAAATGAATTTTCGGTACTTTTTAGGGTTATTGAGTTTTTTATTTTGTTCGATGTAGTTATCGAATGTCATAATAAATTAGGTTAAAGCAAAATACTTGCTCATGGAATCAATACAAATATTGCAGAATATTAGATTAGGTTTTCATCCTCCTAGTTAAAAATACAGGAGCGTTTCAATTATAAAATAAATAAGTTTTATTTAATTTCAGAAAAGATTGAACGTTAAGT